CTGATGAAAAAAAGTTGCTTCTTTGTAATATTTATGGCCCCAATAATGATAATCCAGCCTTCTATGAAAACATACAAACTTGTATAGATGATTTTAATTGTGAAAGTGTTATTATGTGTGGTGACTTCAACCTTGTTTTGAACCCAGACATTGACTATTATAATTACAAACATATAAATAATCCAAACGCAAGGCAAAAGGTTCTTGATTTTATGGAAGATGGTGGTTATATTGACATATACAGACAGTTTCATCCAGACACCCAAAGATATACATGGAGGAAAAAAAATCCACTAAAACAAAGCAGGCTTGATTTCTTTCTGATCTCAGAAAATATATTGCCAAGTGCAATAGAATGTACAATTGAAACAAGTTATAGGTCTGATCATTCTATGATTAGTTTATCTTTATCTTTTAATGATTTTAAGAAAGGTAAAGGTCTTTGGAAATTTAATAATTCCCTTTTGAGTGATGAAAATTTTCTTTATACTATAAATGAAGTCATCAAGAATGTTAAAAAACAGTATGCTGTACCTGTATATTTAATGGAAAACTTGCAACAAGTTAACGATGAAGAATTAACTTTTACAATAAATGACCAATTGTTTTTGGAAACCCTTCTCATGGAAATAAGAGGAAAATGTATTTCCTACTCTTCATACAAAAAGAAACTAACAAAACTAAAAGAAGAAAAACTTGTAGAAGAAATAAAACGCCTTGAAGAAACAATACATACTACTGCTGACAATGTTGAAATTTTAGAGGAAAAAAATAAGGAATTAGAAGATATAAGAAAACAAAAGATGAGGGGTGTTTTAATAAGATCTAGGGCAAGATGGGTAGAACAAGGGGAAAAACCATCACATTATTTTTGCAACTTAGAAAATAGAAATTTTACAAGCAAGATCATTCCAAAAGTAGAAACAGAAAATGGTACAATTATTTATAAGCAGGCCGAAATACTGAATGAAGCCAAAAAATATTATGAATACTTATATAGAGATATAGATAATTCTTTAAATGACATCAATCTTGATGATGAATTAAACTTTCCAAATATTGTTAAACTTTCAAAAGTTGAGTCCTTGGAGACAGAAGGTAAAATAACATTAAAAGAAGCTTCAGAAACACTCCATAATATGAAATCAAACAAATCACCAGGTTCAGATGGGTTTACATCAGAGTTTTTTAAGGTATTTTGGAAATCCGTTGGAATTTTTGTTGTAAGGTCCATTAACTATGCTTATGAAAACAATACTTTAAGTATCACGCAAAGACATGGTATTATTACTTGTATACCGAAAGGTGATAAACCCAGACAACTTTTAAAAAACTGGAGACCCATCTCTTTACTAAATACTATTTATAAAATCGCATCCGGCTCAATTGCTAATAGAATGAAAAAATATCTTGATAAAATTGTTCATCGAGATCAAACTGGATTTATACAAGGAAGAAATATTTCTGAAAATATAAGACTGATATATGATATCATGCAATTTACAGAGGAAGAACATATACCAGGACTTTTACTCCTGGTAGATTTTGAAAAAGCTTTTGATTCCTTGTCTTGGTCTTTTATACAGAAATCCCTCAAATTTTTTAATTTTAGTAATTCCTTTAGAAAATGGGTTGATACTTTTTATACAAATATTACAGCTGCTGTTAATCAAGGAGGAAATCTATCACAGTCTTTTAACTTACACAGAGGCTGCCGTCAAGGAGATCCTTTGTCTCCATATTTATTCCTCATTTGTGCAGAAATCCTTGCAATCAGCATAAGAAACAATAAAGATATAAAAGGGATTCAGTTTATGAATACTGAAAAAAAGTTAACTATGTTGGCAGATGATACTTCTCTAATATTAGATGGAAGTGAAAAATCCCTTCAGTCTAGTCTTGTTACTCTTAAAAAATTTGCGGACATATCAGGTTTGCACATAAATTATAGTAAAACTCAAGTAGTTTGGATTGGGTCAAAAAAAGGTAGCAATGATACTCTATGTACAGATAATATATTAGAGTGGGGAAAAGCAACTTTTAAATTATTAGGCATTGAATTTGATACAAATCTTCAAAATATACTTATGCTTAATTATGCATCTAAAATTGGTAATATAAAAAAATTAATACAACACTGGAACAAGAGAAATTTAACTCCTCTTGGTCGCTTGACAGTTTTAAAAACCCTTTTACTGCCAACCTTAAATCATATTTTTGCATCTCTCCCAAATCCCTCTGAAATACAAATAAAAGAATTAGAGAAGATTTTCTATACATTTGTAATGGGTAGTAATAATTCAAGACTGAAAAGGAAAATTTGCATAATGAATTATAAGGAAGGGGGCTTCAAGATGATCAGTGTAAGAGAGTTCATTATGTCCTTAAAACTAGTATGGATGAAAAAATTGTTACTACAGGACAATGGGTTGGATTCTTTTTTAGATGTTGACATTAAAAAAGTTGTATACTGTGGGCAAGAGTATGTTGTCAAAAAAATGAATGATTTAAAAAATATATTTTGGAGGGATGTGTTGCAAGCATGGTTAAACTTTAGTGAAAAATCCTTACAAAATGACACACTTCTTTCTTTAGAACCATTATTTCTAAACAAAAATTTAATTATTAATAAAAAGCCATTTTTCTATAGAAGATGGTTTTCAGGTAATATTTCATGTATTAGTGACATACTTTATGAAGATGGGTCATTTATGAGTTTGAATGACCTGCACACGAAATACGGGATAAAAACACATTTTCTTGAATATAATGGCATTAAAGCAGCAATATTAGAATGGCTGAGAAAGATAAACAGAGATCCTAATAATTTATTAAAGGTAACTTATCCATATATTCCAGAGAATGTTAATTCTCTACTGAATGCTAAAAAATCCCATGATTTCTATGAAATATTAATCAAACAAATAATTGAACCTTTGGGTAAAATCTCTTGGAATAGAGTCTTTGACTTGAGCAATGGTGAATGGGAGAAAATCTTTTTACTCCCATTCAAAATTACAAAAAACACAAAACTTCAGTGGTTCCAATTTAGAATAAATCATAAAATACTAGCAACAAATTCCTTCCTGCATAAAATTAAAAAAATTGACAGTAATGTATGTACTCTTTGTAAAACAGAAACTGAAACAATTGAACACTTGTTGTGGGAATGTGAACATGTTCAGACTCTTTTAGAGAATTTTGCAGAGTACTGCTTTGATAGAATCCACTCTACTATAACCTTCTCAAAAAAGGAATTTTTACTAGGCTCTGTGAAGAAAACTGACAAGCTTAAAAATATTATTGCTCTACAAATCAAATATTACATTTATCTGTACAAATGTACAAACAGAAACATTTCCTTAGGTGGGTTGATATCCTCTATTAAGACAATGTATGAATTACAAAAATATATATCTTATAAAAATAATGAAAGAGAATCTTTTGATGAAAGCTGGAGACTTTTGAATGACTTATTTTCATAATTCTCTCTCTCTCTCTCTCTCTCTCCCCTCTCTCTCCTCTCTCTCTCTCTCAATTTTTTTTTGTAAAAAGAAACCATTGAAAATACAATAAATTATAAAAAAAAAAAAAATAAAAACTGTGAAGAAAAAATGGTTGGGACAGCTAAAGCATTACAACATACACTGTATCCCTGATATTTCAGATATCGGTGTTTGAGATAACGACGTTCAACAGTATATATCAAGTTTGATCCACAGTTAGGGTTAATAACAACTGTGAGTTAAAAATGCAAATACAAACAATCAGTGTCTTTTTTTATTTGGTGTGTATGAGAATGATAACTGATCTGAAAGCAATTATTGATTAGAATAATGGTTAAGCTTCTTATTTCAATTATTGTGTTCCCTGGTTTGTAATCATTGTCAAACATGAAAATACAAGATACTCATGCCTTAAATTAATTGATGTTCCCTGATTTCTGGTAACCTATGTTACCTATGACTGAGTTTTACAAGCGGATATTAAAATCCACACCTGTACTTACATGAATTATGACAGTGCTTGATGTATGGGTTTTTGCCCTCCACACCTGTACTCACCTGTATTATGACAGTGCTTGATGTAGTGATTTTTTCCCTCCAAACCTATTCTCACCTGTATTATGACATTGCTTGATGTACTGATTTTTGCCCTCCAAACCTATACTCACCTGTATTATGACAGTGCTTGATGTACTGATTTTTGCCCTCCACACCTATACTCACCTGTATTATGACAGTGTTTGATGTAGTGATTTTTGCCCTCCACACCTATACTCACTTGTATTATGACAGTGTTTGATGTGGTGATTTTTGCCCTCCACACCTGTACTCACCTGTATTATGACAGTGTTTGATTTAGTGATTTTTGCCCTCCACACCTATACTTACCTGTATTATGACAGTGTTTGGTGTAGTGATTTTTACCCTCCACACCTATGCTTACCTGTATTATGACAGTGTTTGATGTAGTGATTTTTGCCTTCCACACATATACTTATCTGTATTATGACAGTGTTTGATGTAGTGATTTTTTGCCCTTCACACCTGTACTTACCTGTATTATGACAGTGTTTGATGTAGTGATTTTTACCCTCCACACCTGTACTTACCTGTATTATGACAGTGTTTGATGTAGTGATTTTTACCCTCCACACCTATGCTTACCTGTATTATGACAGTATTTGATGTAGTGATTTTTGCCCTCCACACCTATTCTTACCTGTATTATGACAGTGCTTGATGTAGTGATTTTTGCCCTCCACACCTGTACTCACCTGTATTATGACAGTGCTTGATGTAGGGATTTTTGCCTTCCATACCTGTAGTCACCTGAATTATGACAGTGCTTGATGTAGTGATTTTTGCCCTCCACACCTATTCTTATCTGTATTATGACAGTGTTTGATGTAGTGATTTTTGCCCTCCACACCTACACTTACCCGTATTATGACAGTGTTTGATGTACTGATTTCTGCCCTCCACACCTGTACTTACCTGTATTATGACAGTGCTTGATGTAGTGATTTTTGCCCATCTCGTTTAGCATATTGACACAGGATTCATCATAATACACCTGGCACACGCCTCCATTCTGAACGTAAGTGAATGCCTTACAGTTCCTACAGGCAGACTGGCAAGTGATGATGTCCTTAGTGAAGCTGACAGAAACGTCACACATCATGTACGTGTTCTCAGAGTTTAACTTGATCTGTTCATAACTGCATTTCCTGTCAGCTGAAAAAAAAAAGAATTTGTATTGAACAAAAAAGTACTAACTTCACTGACAGACTGAAGAAAACAAAACTGGTAAATAAAAAGTTACCTGTCCTAAAATGACAAAGTTTTATACAGTTTTCAAGCTTGTTTTCAATAATAAGTAAAGTTTAAAAATCAGTCAAATTTATTTTTAGTCCAAAAGATATAAGTACCTCACTGTCTCTTTCATATGACCATAATATAGTGTATTATAGCATTTAATAAATCAATCTAATTAAAATCAGATGTTCCGAATCTGCTACCGCTTCTCAAACATCTAACAACATCCCATTTGGGGTCACGTCAGAGAGACCTTTCGATTACCCAATGAAATCGCCGTCGTCAAAATCTTGGCTTATATTTCGGATGCATTTCATTTTTACTGCCAAACCTAAACGCCCGAGGGGTTTCATAGTAAACAAAATATGCATAGTAAAGACCGTGCTATATATGAATGTGACGTGCGGGATATATAGTAGTTTGTGTTTTTCGTTTGCGTTATTCAGGTAAGAATGCCAGATTGGCGGACTATAGTTCAATTTATACCAAAATTACTTTAATTCAAAGTAAGACAGTCTACTGAGCATCAGTAATGTAAAGATGTAGCCGTGGAACTAATTTTAGAATTGTATACAGAAGGTTGAATCTGATTGGCCAAAATTTTTATGTTTATTCATAATCGAAAGGTCATTCTGACGTGACCCCGAATGGGATGTTGTTAGATGTTTGAGAAGCGGTAGTGGATTCGGAACATCTAATTTTAATTTGATTGTTAATAAATAAAATTACTGAGAAGTATTTTTTCCGCATGGTATTAATTAATGCTATGAACATGGTCACAAATTTTCCATGGAAATTTCTCCCAGCATACTTAAAGTACATTTAAGGCATAATGATATAGTGGCAATCTAAGAAATGCATGTAATTTTCTACCCGCAGATTGAACAGAAATTGTAATTCCACTAAATTTTGACTCTGTGGACAAAAAGTATATTTACAGTACATAACTCAATGAAATATATATTTTATATTTTCTAAAATGCCCTCTCAATTCAATCCCAATATCTGAAATACATATACATTCAATGCATAAAGATATACACCAAAAACATGCACAACACAAATACAGATCACAAACACAGACAATGAGACATATATCATGACAATATCAGTATATTCTTTATGTCAAAACTGACAATATAAACCATTCATATACACTATGCCTGTTGGAAAATGTGAATGTACTTCAAAAAAAACTTTTATTGTAGAAATAAAGACTTCATCTAATTTGTACAGAAGAAAAATTGTGCAGAGGGGAAATGGACGTGGGAAAAAATAAAGATGATATGCACACTAATATATACCCGGAATGTGTCTACATCGTAGGACCTCATAGAAAGTCATTTTAGGGTTAGGCCAATAGGTCACATCCTGTCCCCTCTCAAAGACTGCACACAGACCACTATCTGTGGCATACTCAAATCCAAGGCATGTCGCCTGTTGTTCGCAGCGATCAAGGCAGAGATCCCAGGAACTGGCCTGGCTTGTTACTATCTGTTTCCCCCAAAGTACCCCTTCTAGTTTCTCATGAACCTGATATTCACATCTGATACCTACATGTATAACACGTAAACAAAGTCACTTAATTAACATTTCAGACAATAACACATATAAAACATTTCAATACTGTATGTGCACTTCTACTGGAGTACCTATTTATCGTTTTTTAAGTGCCTTTCAAACAGTGCTTATGTTTTTCACTAAAATATGAACTGACAAAGACAAGATAAATGGATTTAAACTGAAGCAATGATACGATGAAATACATGCATATATGATACATAATGAATGAATGCAGACGGAGTGATACATTTTGTGCAGCTTTCACTGCATCATGGGAAAAATTCACAAATCATCAATAATAACCAAGTCCCCCGAGTCAACATGCAACACATGCAGACAAAACAATAAAGCATCCTAAATGTAAACTGCTGAGCATGTTAGGACTGGAATTATCCCCATATGACTAGCAATTATAGAGCTTATTCACATGCAGATCTCATATCCAAAATAAAACACATCTGGCTATATATGTAATCTAGTCAACTGGAATCTTCTAAAATGCCCAATGCAATGGAACACTGTTTAAAATCAGAAGATCTCAAGGTCACACTTTTAAAAAATTTAAAATAATTTTCATGAAACCAGTTTTAATGGTACTTAGGCCAGATAAAATTAATAAGCAAAATAATATTCTCATCCCCGCCTGCCTTTCTCAAAGTGTCCCACCCCATTGTTTTTTTTTTATTTTGGGTGCTTGTTTTCCCAAGTATTTACTATGTTTTACTAAACAAGAGGCCCATGGGCCACATCGCTCACCTGAGCACTTTGGCTAAGAGCTCAGTATTTTATAAGTGCTATCAACCTACCCTAATAGGAGGGGGGGGGGGGGGGCATGATTTGAACAAACTTGAATCTACACTTACTGAGGATGCTTCCATATTTCTTTGACAAATCATGGCTTTAGAAAATTTTTAAAGATTTTTTCCTGTAAGTTTTATTTTCTATTGTGGCAACGCCCTACCCCCAGGGGTCATAATTTGAACAAACTTGAATCTACACTACCTGTGGATGCTTCCATATTATTGAATATTACCAAATATTACCAATCATTGCTCTGCTGTTCTTGAGAAGAAGATTTTTAAGGATTTTTCCTATGTATATTCAATGTAAAACATTGATCATCCATTGTGGCCCAGCCTAACCCCTGGGGTCATGATTTGAACAAACTTGAATCAACACTACCTGAGGATGCTTCATATAAATATGACCATTCACGGCTTTACTGTTCTTGAGAAGAAGATTTTTAAATATTTTTTTCCCATGTAAAACTGATCTTCCATTTTGGCCCCACCCTACCTTGAGGGGTCAAGATTTGAACAAACTTGAATCTGCACTACCTGAGGATGTGTCCACATAACTTTCATCTTTCCTAGCCCAGTGGTTCTTGAGAAGAAGACTTTTAAAGATTTTTCCTTTGTATTCCTATGTAAAACTTTGATCGTCCATTGTGGCCCCACTCTACCCCGGGGTCATGATTTGAACAAATTTGAATCTACACTACCTGAGGATGTGTCCACATAACTTTCATCTTTCCTGGACCAGTGGTTCTTGAGAAGAAGATTTTTGAAGATTTTTCCTTTGTATTCCCATGTAAAACTTTGATCGTCCATTGTGGCCCAACCCTACCTCCAGTGAGAAAGGACAGTAAGCAGTGGAAACTCCAATACAGTGTACAGCAACAGTATGATATCTTGGGATCTGCGCCCCATTTCATAGCAGCAGTTGTGTGTGGCATGTACTCATAGAATTGCCAACAATTGCATTAATAAACTATCTTTCATTTTCATCTACTCTGTCAAGCAATTTAGTCATAATTACTCTAAACGAACCTGATTTTTGACATTTTGGGGGGCAGTTTTTTCAGTGCAACGTTACATGTAGCTTTATTTAAAATGCTGAAGTGAAATATTCCTCACAGTGAAAAACTTTGAGATTCCGTTGTCCGTACAACAATACAAGTCGAAGGATTGCCAAAGGTTTTAAGTAAACTAAGGAAAGCTCAAGAACTGAACTATATGATCCAGTTAATTACAATATCGATGGCATGGCTGCCTCTAAGCATCCTTAATATTCAAGCAAGTTTGGTCAAATTAGGCCTAACGGTTATAAAAGAATACGACCACTCCTACATCTTTAATCTGATCAGTATGAATTGTTTTAGTTCATTATCTGAAGCAATCATACAACTCATGTTCTCATCCAAGCATGGATAATCCAAACAAGTCTGGTTCACCTACAAAACTGAACCTGGTCACTCATCCACAAATGTAGGTTATAATTAGGAACATGACTCATTACATGACTCATTACTGACATAACACAACTCTGGGTGCATCAGTAGGTATCAGGTTACAATGACCAAGTTTGGGTCTGGGCTCATAAGCTCTCTAACCAGTAAGGATGAGCTGACTGATATCTTTAATCTGTTGTAATATAATATAGAATACTACTTCTTACACCTGATTCTTTATAGTAATTCCATAGTTGATTAACTTTGTCTAAGCAGCTTCGATGTATCAAATATTATTTTAAACCGCTTAATTTAAAAAAAATTATACCCATTATACCCATTAGTAAGATAAATGATATAATCAATATATTTAAATTGAACATGTTCACAACTGACAAGCAATTACCATTTCATTACTAGAGTACATCAAAATTGAGAACCCCATACCACAGTCATAAAAACTTCACAAAATTAACCAATATCTTTTGCATGTCTTGAGGGAAAAGTCTTGGCACAGTTCTTGGATAACCTATTATTATCATGTCAAAAACTGAATGAAACACATAGGAATGAGATATTATGGAAATGCTTTAAAAAAATTACCATAAACCAACCTACTCAACCATAAAAAAAGTAAGACAGTTACATCATCTTCATGAGAACATAACTTTGAGACGTACAGGCATATTTGATGTTGGAGCATACACACCTCTGACTATTGAGTTATTCCTGGCAGACTGCTGGGCTATTTGTGGAGGTTTCGGATGGTTGGAACAAGCTTCCCCGGAATCAATCTTGATGTGTTTCTGCTCCAGACAGGCATGCCTGTGGAGTTCGCAGTGACTGGGATACACCACCCCATTGGATCCACACACAGCATGAGCATGCTTAGAGCAGAGGGTAGTGTCACCACACACACAGGACCTCTTGTGACAGACTCTACCTGAGGGACAGTCACCATCTGATGAACAGGGCACTATGGAATACATAATTAATATCACTTAATCAAAAAAGAGTAAACCAGAAAAATATGTCCATATAAGGAAATAAAAGCCCAGCCAATGTACAGTTGTATATTAATATGAACATGATGAAAAGAAATCCAGTAGTACTTTTTATTTTTGGTATGAAAAAGGGGAAAAAAAGTTCATTTATTGTTTTTATACGCAGAAACTATACCTTTTGTAGTTTGGTATCTATGTACATGTACTATTTAGTGTTAATTTATCCTATCCACACAGCTAAATAATACCTTACTTTTTCAGGTTCATTTTCTTTATATGCAGTAAATCTATGCATGACCTCTTGCATAAAAATCACTTCATTTTGTCTTCAAAGATAAGTTTTGTTTTTTTTTCAAAGCGAATAATAGTTTTAATAAACTGGTACAATCTCACTTTTGATATTACAAATAAAGCACAAGGTCAAATATAGGGTCAAGGTCACAAAATTTTGACAATTATACTTCTCTTAGCAATATATACTGGTATCAGTGTGTGAATTTTGATGATAATATTTTGAACAGTTTCCTTGAAAATGAGGTAATTTAAGTCCATGGTGCTGATGAACAGACAAAGGGATGAAAAATAGACATCACAAATACTGCTATCTACCCAAGCCTTACCCACGAAGAGGCATAAAGACACTGGATTTTTCATTATTTTCTAATTAAAATTTGTATATAAAGGAATACTGGAAAGGGAAACTTCAAACTAAGCCTACTTACCATGAGGTCTGGACAAGATGTACTTAGTTTTCCTTTGTTGTGTTTTCCTCTCTGACACAGGAGTCACACGAGTAGGTCTGGTCGTAGGAGGATTTGGTCTGGTAGAGGGCGCTGCTGTGGTAGAAGAGACTTTGACCTTTGACCCTCCGACTTTCTGACCTGACACAACACCAGAGACTTTATCTTTCTGTTTGAGTAATTTTTTTGCCTTTGTTTTTTCTGTTTGTTTGTTTTGTTCCTTTTTAGTTGCCGTCTCTGGCTGTTCTTCAGTACTCCTTTCATTCTGAATCTTCTCAATAACTTTTCTCATTGAGTCATTACTCACTTCTTTCTCAGTTCTTCCACTGCCTTTTAACAATGTTTTGGGTCTCCGTGTTGTTTTCGGTAGATTTTGGAGACTTTTGGCTGTTGTTGTTGATGGTTTAGCCTTAGTCTGTGATGTCTGGGTTTCTTTGACTGTGTTTTCTGTTGTTACTTTGACTTTTCCGATGTCATCGTCTAATACAACATCAGTTTCTGTATAAGGTAGCCTACTACCATAAACCTCCCTGATAAATTCTTTCATCTGATCACTCCATTTAGAAGGACTTCCTTCATCTCTAATTGTCAGTTTTACACTGGTTATTTTACCTTTGTGTTTCTTCTGATGTTCAATTTCTACATCCTCTTTCTGTGTTTGGTGATTAGGATCCAATGTTGTAGATTTTGCATCACTCCTTTCTGTTGATTTTTGACTCTCTCCTTTCTCTGAGTGCACATGTTCATGTAAATTCAAACCAACAGATTTGTCCCCCTTTGTTTCTGAAGTTTTTGTTTCTTTTTCGGGGACATAGATTTTGTTGACAGGAGGTTTCCAGTAACCAATGTAGCCAGGGTCATTGTACAGGGTGCCATGTTTCTGTAAATACATAATGCATGTTAAATTGTGATAATAGTTATCGGTATTGAACTAAAAAAAAATTTCCCATGTAATATACTCGGTGCTGACAAAATATGCATGTGCTTGTTAATAGCCAGTCATTATACTTTCATGAATTTCTACATTTTAATTATAAACTTTCTGGAAAAGTCTGGAAGGAATTAATGCTGAACAAGTGGATATTTCCACCTTTTATGCTGGTAACTGTTACAATTTGAGGGTACAAATATATCGATGATCTGTAATTTTGACTAGGAGTCTGGAGCCATATTTCAGTTCATCTTTGCATGAAAAACATTTTTTGTGGCATGTCTCCTCTAGCAAGTCTGGAAGGAATTAATGCTGAACAAGTGGATATTTCCACCTTTTATGCTGGTAAGTGTTACAATTTGAGGGTACAAATATATCGATGATCTGTAATTTTGACTAGGAGTCTGGAGCCATATTTCAGTTCATCTTTGCATGAAAAACATTTTTTGTGGCATGTCTCCTCTAGCCTGTCATTTTAGAGATAAATTGAAGGCATTTGTTTCAAATTTCTTCTATTGCATGGCCTCCTTAAAATCTTTTTACCAGCACTGTATGCTGTGAAAATGCAATTATAACATGAATTTTCTTATTAATTTCACAGGGACTAGCAGATACAAAAAGATGCCTCATACTTTATTTTTTTTATAGTATCCATTACTTAACTCCATGCAGCACCACAGCTATATGTGAGGCTAGCCATTATGGGATAAATGCACTCTCGAGATCAGCATTTCATGGTGAGTCACTGAGTTCCATTTGTATCACCATAGAATCCAACTCAATAAAACCATTTTTATGAACTATTATGTATCTGTTTTAGGATTTAAACAGTATAACAAAAGGATCAGATGAATGGTCATCCACATAAAATGTATCAATGAAAAAAAAGCTATTCTACTAAACAAATGTACTTGCATGAACAAAATGACAGAATCTGTACAACTACTGGAGGGGAATGAAGACACAAAATTAACGAAAAATCCTCAAACTAAGGTCCCTGCATCAAAATCTGCATAGACAGTATACTGGGGAGATGAACTTATTTGGGATGATTGTAAAATCAATCAGCAGACATCATCATGTAGTCCCAATATCCCTGATATTTGTTGGAGGTATTGATCCCACTTTAATCTTTCCAATAACACTCCTCGGGAGAGGTAGATTTCAATGAATTGTTACCGATATTCTACAGAACAGTAATGTATTGGTCAAATGATACAGATGTTGAAATGTCACAAGCCATTCTATCTATGGCTTGTTGTTTCGTAATTAATTACAACCCATTCTATGTAGCAGAAAATCATGCATTCTTTATATAACAGGCTAAATTGGAGATATAACAGTTCTGCACATGTATCTGAGAATATTTACATATTTCCACTTTTTATGTTTGATAGCTTTTAAAATCCTAATATTCAGATGAATCGTTTTGAAATTCAACGGTAGACAAAAGATTGCAATAAAAATTACCTGGTATATTTAGGTACATTATAATAATCTCCATATATTTCTTCATCAATTCATTTCATTTTAATACAACTGATTTCCTTAATGTTTTTCATGAGAAATAATTACCAATTCAGTTAAATTACAATGCATATACTTGACTTCAATTGTTTTCCCTTTTTTTTTCCTTTTTTGCTGTAGCAAAAACAAGACAGGCAGGATGAGTTCATTAACGTGAGTCATTTGTAGTGAGGCAACAAGAATGTGTCAGCAAATCACAGGGGCTGAAAATCAATGACTGATTCCTAAAACAAAACTAAGTGTTAAGAGACCATATGCTTTTGAAATAAACTCAATAATACTTAAAAGATTTCTACATGTGTATATATATGAATACAAAACTGTTAAGAAAAGACAAATTTCTTGAATTATCAATATGTACATGATGTAACAACATGAAATGCAGTTATTGGGACTATTTGGTATGAAATAAAGGAGGAGTCACTTACAGAATCTATATAAGTTATGTTTCCAAATGAGGATTATACCCTATTGTAATTGCATGTGTAATGGTTGGGATGCAAGTCCTTTCTTTTGTTTATATCATACTGAACCTATACCACCATGATCACTGCTTGGGCTATTCTTTTATAAAGTTCTGACTATAGTACACAAGATAAGACTGTATATCAGCTTCATATTCAAATCTCTCCATGAATAATGGTACATTCTTCAACTTAATTAATATAAAAGTGATAATTAACTTCAATACATTCAAATTCATAGCTGAAAATGTAAATTACTATACCAATGCCAAATATCTCAATATTGTTAGTAATATTACTGTCTGATATTAAATATTTGCAAGACTTAATGAAGTTTTCTCATCCTTTGTGCAAATTATAAACTATAAACTGCTGCCATAAACTGTCTAACAGAAATTATTTGTCTTGGACTAACAGTATCTTCTCAGAGAAAGGTAAAAATTCTACACATTTGCATTTCTTCTTTACAAAGAAAAAGAAGAAATTTCCTCATGCACAAAAAAGCTTTGGCAATTTGCAAATTTCTGAATCTATAGCATCAAGAATACAAACAGATCTGTCACTTGTCTATGACTAGATATAAAATCAATTCTTTCTACTGGAAATCCACTGGGAAAATCATGTCTGTATTCAATTAAGGAAGTTGAGAATTGTAAGATTGTCAGCAGTAATTGTCAAGTAAAGAAATGGAGGAAACATGAAGCTGGGGGGGAATATTTACATGTAAACTGGTCATGCATTGTCTATAAGGCACAGATATAAGCTTGAGGAATATTTTCATGTAAACTGGTCATGCATTGTCTATAAGCCACAGATATAAGCAAGAGGAATATTTACATGTAATTGGACATGCATTGTCTATAGATCTCAGATAAAAGCAAGAGAGGAATATTTACATGTAAACTGGTCATACATTGTCTATAAGCCACAGATATAAGAGGAATATTTACATAAAAATGTATTGATATAAGAAAGATGAATATATTTACATGTAAACTGGTCATGCATTGTCTATAAGCCACAGATGTAAGAAAGAAGAATATTTACATGTAAATTTGACATGCATTGTCTATAAGGCACAGATATAAGCTTGACCCTTTACCTGTAAACTGGTCATGCATTGTCTATATGTCACAGATATAAGCTTGAGGAATATTTACATGTAAACTAGTCATGCATTGTCTATAAGCTACAGATATAAGAAAGAGGAATATCTACCATGTCTGAATATAAATGTATTGATATAAGAAAGAGGAATATTTACATGTAAACTGGATATGCATTAATACAAGCAAGAGGAATATTTTATTACATGTTAACCGGTCATGCATTGCTACAAGCAAGAGGAATACATGTAAACTGGTCATGTATTGATTAAAGCAAGAGCAAAATTTACATGTAAACTGGTCATGCATTAAATATTGATACAAGCAAGAGGAATATTAACATGAAAACTGGTCATGCATTGATACAAGCATCAGGAATATATTTACATGTAAACTGGTCATGCATTTTGTATAGGCCATATATAATATATAAGCTATAGGAATATATTTACATGTAAACTGGTCATGCATTGTGTACAGGCAATTTATATAAGCAAGAGAACTATTTATATGTAAATTAGTCATGTATTGTGTATAGGCCATATATATATATATATTTACATGTAAATTGGTCATGCATTGTGTAAAGGCCACAGATACATGTATAAGAAAGAGGAATATTTACATGCTATCTGGTTATGCATTATCTATAGGCCACATGCTACCTTAATAGAAATAAACGAGAGGTAAACAGCCAAACACACAAATTAAATCACATATTATGTAAAGTTAATTCAAAAGAAGTTTTTAAATTAAGAAGAGAGTTAAGAGGGAAAAAAATCGATACAAACACTACCATCAGAGATTTAGTTACTGTGATCATGATGATGGCACTTAGACTTAAATATTATATTATATTAAAAACTGCTTTTTAATGGGCTTTCAGCAGGCTAATACAAGTCTCATAGAAATGTAAATCATAAACCAACTGCTATTTTTTCTTCAAGCAGGGAGTATTATGAAAAAGTAAACTTTTTCAATCATCCAAAAAATGTTGGTACTAAGATGCTAGTCCAAATCATGCCCAGCAGTTTGCATCCCTAGATGCATCTGAACCATGCAAGTTTGGTCCAGGGTAGGCCTAATATATTTACTTGGGACCTGCTCATATAACTCTGGAATCTAATGCCCATAAGGGAGATATGCAGATAAATTCATCTCGATATCATTGAGATGAGGTTAAATAAAAAAACATCCTTCATGGAATCTAAATACTTCTATAAATGCTACAATTTATCATCATTCAGTGGATTTCATAAGTGATTAAAACAAAGCCTGCATAAAGAACAACACATTAACCATCTGCTTTTTAACTATTATATATGTGCTCATTAGTTGAAATGATTTATGTTTGATGTCTTGTTTCTCTTTGAATGATAAATGAAGTTTCACAATTTGATGTGAAGAACATAGTATTACTGACCATTGATTAATTGTTATTTTTCAGCTGAGAATATTTACTCATTAATCAAGAGGAAATCTTGGCTGATCTGAGCTGACGATCACATGAATTATACAATTTAGACATGGAAAGCTAAGGATTGGAAAATATGCCGCGTCTCCCACTTCATATGGTCAATAAGTACAGGGCTAGGGTTAGGGCTTTTTTTTTCTTTTTTACATTTATTAAAAAGCTATGGGATTTGAAACTCTATTTAAATACCCCTATATCAGTTTAAATATTATGAAATAAAGTAAAAAAAAAAATATGGGCTTCCCAGACATTTAATATATTATCATATCTAATTATTGATGACTGATTTAAAGAACAAATCATTAGAAGATCATTCAACAATTTATAATCATTTTCTTCCAAGATGGGCCACCTTCACCATAGCTCAGTCTCTAGAGT